AGGTGGGGAGAACCCCAGGATTCCCGGGCAGCGGAAGTGGGGGGAGCTCAAGCCAGGGATGGTATTTTTTTTCTGGTAGGAGAAAGAAAACAGCAGGGGACAGCAGCTCCCCATCCCCCCACCCCTTCCTCCTCCACGTCCCCACGCACCCCGGACCCTCCCGGTGGAAATGTCTGGTACAGTTTGGATGGAGGCTGCCAAGCGCTGCAAGAGAGAGACCAGCAGCCAGAGAGGTAACAACCGGCACCAGAAATGAAGGGACCCAGCGAGCGGGGAGCCAGTGGATAAGGACCCAGTGGCCGAGCTGTGTCATCGAAGGGGCCAGGCAGGGAGCTGGCAGGGAGAAAGTCTCCTTGAGAAGGGACAGAGATGGCAGGAACAGGAGGAGGCAGACAGAGGAAAGACAAAGGTGTGAGTGGGAAAGTTAAAGGAAGAACCGGGCAGTGAAACACGAAGGAAAAAGAGTCTCTAAGTTACCAAAGAAATTGTTAGAAAACTGCAAGAGACGTAAAACACGAATGAAATGTGACAGAAACCAGCTGTGAGCAAAGAGAAACGGGCTGGAGAAATGTGAGGAAGTGAGCTGGAGCAAAAGTAAAGCAAATAGTACGGACAGAACGTCCGCAGGACCGCACAGCACTTTCAGGTGCAGCAACAGAAATATCGGGACTGTCCCTATAAAATCAGGACATCTGGTCACTCTGCTCAGAACAGCAAACAAAGATGCCACAAGAGGATGGCTCAAGACAGAATGAACCAGCTTAAGAAATTTGCCTGCGAAGTCGGGACGTACAGAGGCTGAAAATAGAGAAACCGCGAAGGGAACCTAGAGCAGTGGGGTTCTGGTCTAGTTCACTTTACTTTCTAACTCTACATTCTGGGATTCCATGAACGTAAAACTGACTTGATAGGGAACAATTCATTCTGATGATGGTACAGTAGAACCTCTGAGTTACTAACTGACCGGTAACCACACACCTCATCTGGAACTGGAAGTGCACAATCAGGCAACAGAAGAGACCAAAATAATAATAATAATAATAAAGCCAATACAGAACAATTCTGTGTTAAACAAAGTTCTACAAAATCAAGGGAAAGTTTAACAACAGCTTTGGCAAGGGAAGGAAACTGTTTCTGTGCTTGTTTCGTTTAAACGAAGATTGTTCAAAGGAGAATTTTAATTCAGGCAAAGTCAGCAATAGTTCCCAGTGTGACCCTGCACAGCAGTTCCTGCTAAACCAGCAAACTCTGATTCTCCTTCCCCAGCTGATGGAGATAAAACGCAATTGGCCTCTAGGTCCCCTCGGCCTCTCCTTGCCCTGCCCCAGCCACCCCTCCACGGGCTCCTTGCAGATGGATCCGCGCCGTTCCCCTGCTGAGGGGTGGGGGGGGGCCCGTGTCTCTTGTGTCACTAGCCCAGCTCTCTCAATCTTGGATTTAGGGGAAAAGCATCCAGGAGACTCTCCCTGCAGGCCCCTGTATCAGTCTTGTCACTGGGGCCGGGCTGTGTGGACAGGGCGCAGTGACCAGCTTGTCTCCTTCTGCCTGCAGAGCCCAAACCCAACATCTCCCTGCACCCCAGTGGGAGAGCCGTGACCGTCCGGTGTGAGTGTCGGTGTCACGGAGCGAGGGTCCTTCTGAGTAAAGTTGGAAACCCGGCTGCACGGTGCTCGATGGACCTAACGCAGGGGACGTGGCTGAGTTTCCCATCCTCAACATGAGCTAGAGAGACACAGGGATCTACAGCTGCCAATATAGCACCAAGTGGGACCCGCCCGTCCCCACTCCCAGCCCCACACCCAGCTGGGCCCTCAGGGGCTCCTGG